GAATATAGTTCCCTGTGCTATACAGTAGAAACTTGTTGTTTATCTATTTTATATATAGTAGTTAGTATCTGCAAATCTCAAACTCCCAATTTATCCCTTCCCACCTCTTCCTCCCTAGCAACCATAAGTTTATTTTCTATGTCTGTGAGTCTGTTTCTGTTTTGCAAATAAGTGTCTAATTTTTTTTTTGGATTCCACAAATAAGTGATATCATATGATATTTTTCTTTCTTTTTCTAAGCCCCTTGTCTTTTGTCACTCCAAGTTTCCCTGTATCACACCCACATGTTGGGTTGTGTTAAACATTGGACATGTTTGGGGGTAATCCTAAGGGCAGATACAGTTAATTTGGGTTTAGAGAGATACAGGAATGAATGATTCTCAGTTACATCATATGTAGATTAGCTATTGCTGGCTGTTCTGGTTATAGGAATGCCTTCCAGACATACTCCCACCTCCTGCTGTGCTGACTCACCCAACATTGTAGGTGACCAAAAGGCACCAGAAGTTGTGACAGGAATGCATCCAATGGGCCCTGGCAGGGAAGCATGTGGGTAATGGAGAAGAAACAAGGCTCCATGTGTACAGAAACAGCATCTAATCTCTGGAAATTTCTTCCAGTCATCAGATGTGTAATATTCGTAAGCAGATGATTTCTTTTTCTTTTTCTTTTTCTTTTTTTTTTTTTTTTGGAAAACCTTTTGAGTGTGGCTTCTGTCACTTAGCATAATGCTTTAGAGAGTCACTCATGTTGCTGCACAGGTCAGCAGTTCGTTCCTTTGTATTGCTAAGTAGTATTCCCGTGTGTGAGTGGACCACATTTGTTTATTCATTCGTCTGTTGATGGACATTTGGATTGTTTCCAAATAGAGCCGTTATACACGTTTACATATAGGGTTTTTTTCGTGGATCTGTGTTCATTTCTCTTGGAGTGGGATTGTTGAATCGCAAGGTAAGTGAAAGTGTGTTTAACTTCGTAGGAAACTGCCAAATCGTTCTCCAAAGGGGCTGAATCATTTCCTATGTCCACCAGCAGTGTATGCGAGTTCCAGTGACCCCACATCTTCGTTAGCACATGGTATTATCAGATGGCATTTTTCCCCCCAGTCCCTCTAAGAGGAATGTAGTGGGACCTCATTGTGGTACCCATCAGCATTTCCCTAAAGATCCCACAGGAAGAAGGTGTCTCTCCACGCACTCCCCACACTCTTGCCCGTTCCCCAGTGGTACACTGCTATTGCTAGGTGCATGGTCGGGGACTGGGGAGGGCTCTCTGTTGCCGTGGGTGCTGGGGCTTTCTCAGTGTTCCTGCCCATCCCCACCGCCACCCCCGTGTCAGCCAGACTGCCTTCTATCTGTGGCTGGACTTGGGCACAAGTTTCTGCTCCTCCCCAGAGGTAGCCGACCTCTAGGGTATTGGTACAGGATCCCGGTTTCCTGCCCCTTCCCCAGGGCAGAGGGATTTTATCTCCTACCGGAAATGAAGCCGCAATGCATCTTTATCTGGGCCCTGGGAGTGATAGCATTTGTTGGCCCTCTCCCAGTGGTTTAAGGCTTTTACTCCTTTAAGACAAAGGTCTGGAGAGGACTGAGAGTTTGGCTTTTTTTTTCCCCCCGCAGCAGCAGCCAATCCCCTGCTTGGCTGAGGGCGGGGCCTCTCTCTGGCCCCGTCTCTTGCCCTTCCCCCACTCTTTCTCCAGAACCCTGAAGGGAGGTCCAGAAATCAAAGCCGTTAGTGTGTGCAAACTCTCCCGGTGTCTCGGGCCCCCAGCTATTTCAGATTGTATGCCAGCACACAACTGGCTTCCAACAATTTGTTAAAATTTTAGCTGATTTCTTACCCAGTTTTACGGACCCCGTGTGTCTTCCCCACTCCGTGCCCACGCCTGGCACAGGTGAGCCCGCCTGAGCTTCCTGCCTCCCTTGGAATTCACTACTTGGCCAGCTGAAGAAAAGAAATGATTTTGTATTCTCTCTCCAGGCTTTTCTCATTGTGAGTGTGGGAGAAACACTTTCCAGCTTTCTACACCTTTGTGGGAGCCCAAATCCTCTTGTCTTTGAAACCTCTCTTCCACCTTCTACCCACCAATGTTCCCAAGCTAATGCTACCTGTTTGAGGTTGGTCTTAACATTCCACTTCCAGGTACCAATTTTTATTCAGGAATCTTTTTGTCCTGTTACCTATTGGTGCATAACAAATCACCTCAGAATGCGTTGGCTTCAAATAAAAATGTCCTGCTATTTCTCATAGTTCCATGGATTGCCTGGTTTCTGCCAAGCAGTGTCCTCACGTGGGGTCTCCCATGTGACTGCAGTCAGATGTCTGCTGGGGCTGAAGTCATCTAAAGGCCTGGGTGGCCAGAAAGCCTCCCTCCTGGAACCCGTGGATGATTAGCAGAAGCCACAAGGTGGGAATAAACAGAGTCAAGTTTCACTGGAGGGCCATCTCTGGAGACTAGCTAACATCTTGTTTAACATTGCATATAAAGGGGGACCTTTCACACTGGGTCTTAAATTTACCTAACTATAAAGTTAACAGAAGGAAAAGGGACAATATTTTTGTGGTGGGGTGGGAGGGGACTTGTCAAATAAATCTTCAAAAGCACAAAGTTATAAAAAGAGGAAAAATATAAACCTCATTACACTAAAATATAAGATTTCTGCCAACAAAGGACATCATGGAAAAGTTAGTGTACAGATGTCTGAATGGTAGGAGATATTTGCAATATCTAAAACTGACGAGCAATTAATGTAGAGATATAAACTCCTGAAACCCAACTTTAAAAAGCCCTGTAGAGGGGGAGAATATAGCTCAAGTGGTAGAGTGCATGCCTAGCATGTACAAGTTCTTGGGTTCAATCCCCAGTACCTCCTTTAAGAATAAGTAAATAAATCTAATTACCTACCCCCTTAAAAAGCCCTGTAAATTCTAAAAAATAAAACCAAAAACTATAAAATGTGAAGAAAACATAGAAAAATCTTTGCAACCTTCGGTTAGACAAAGATTTCCTAGTTACAAAATCAACGTATCAATCCATTAGAAAGATTTTGATAAATTGGATTTCATCCAAATTAAAAACATTTGCTCTTTGAAAGGCATTGTGAGAATGCAAACAAAATATTTGCAAGTTGTATATGTGATAAAGTGCTCATATCCAGAGTGAAGAACTCTTGAAACCCAAAAAGAAAATAAAGCTTTTTTTTTTAACGGGCAGGAAATTTGAACAGGCAATTCATCAAAGATTGACCATTGACAAACAAGCTCACATGAAAAGGTATTTAGTACCGTTAGTCATTAAGGAAACTCAAAACCACAGAGAGATAACCATTGGGCACCAATTAGAATGGCTAAAATTAAAAAGACTGACTTACCAAGCATTCCTGCATCTGTGAGGGTGGAGAGGAAGCAGAACTCTCATACACAGCTGGTAGGGATGTAAAATGGTCTGACCACTTTGAGAAGCAGTTTGGCTGCTTCCTAATAAGTTATAAGCTTATCCCTGCCAATATGATCTAGCCATTCTACTCCTAGGTATTTACCCAAGAAAAATGAAAGCATATAGCCATACAAAGACTTGTATGCAAACGTTCACAGCAGCTTTATTTGTAACAGTCAAAAACTGGAAACAACTCAAATGTCCAACAAATGGTGCATATCCAATACAATATAATACTTACAATAAATAAAATAAAATAACTTTTACTTAGCCATTAAAAGGAAGAAATTATTGATAATATACGACAGAATGGATGAACCTTAAAGTAATTATGCCGAGTGAAAGAAGCCAGGTACAAAAAGCGTATCATCTGTATGATTTCCATTTATATAGCATTTCTAGAAAATGCAGTCTATAGTGATGGAAGCAGGTCGACAGTTGTCTGAGGAGGGAAGAAGCAACTTAGAGGTTATGGTACGTTCATGATCTTCATTGTGGGGATCATTGCCTACATATGTCAAAAAGCATCCAAGTGTACGCTTTAAATATTTGCAGTTTATTGTGTGGGTCAATACTTCAATAAGGTGTTTTTTTAAAAGGGATTCTCGCGCCCAGGGTCACACAGCGCGATGCAAACGCAGGAGTCCACATTTGGAGCCCGCATCCTTAACTCCCCACCCCATCGGCACCGAGGAAAGTGCTGGAAGGGAGCCGCAGCTGGAGTTAATAATTACCGGTGGGCGGCCCCTTCCCAGCCGCGCTCCCGCCCCGGGGCGGCCCGAGCGCGGCCTTGCCGGACGGTTTCCTGCTGCGCCGGACGCCGCGCTCGTTCGCTCCGCCGCAACCTGCTGCTCCTCCGCGCCCGCGCCGCGCCCCGGGAATGGTGAGGGGGGTCATGCGCCGCCGCGGTCGGGGCAGCCGGGTTAGGGCGGGG